AGGGTGTTGAAGTACAACTCACGTAAAGTTGATAATTCCGCGAATGACTGCAATTGCAGATTTCGAACAGAGATGGCGACAAAGAGGAAAAACGCCGGACTGCAGCTTTAAAATGTAAATAATGTTAAAGGGTTAGTTCACCCCAAAATGAAAATTCTGTCAGTAATTACTCACCCTCATGTTGTTCCAACCCCGTAAGACTTTCGTTCATCTTCGGAACACAAATTAAGATACACGCATCACACACATGACCAGAGTCGGCCAATAGTGAGCCTACGTGTGACGTACAACACCGAAGCTTTGCGCAGTTACACTACGCGAAATCTCGAGGCCCCCAGAGTAGGAAATTAATAGTTGAATAAAGTCTTTATTTTTGTTTGTTTTTTGCGCACAAAAAGTATTCTCGTCGCTTGATAAACTTAAAGATAGAGCCACTGTAGTCACTTGGACTATTTTAACGATGTCTTTAACTTTTCTGGGCCTGCAAGTTTCGATCCCTTAGAAGAAGCCTATGGAGGAGTGAGACAGCTCTCAGAATTAATCAAAAATATCTTAATTTGTGTTCCGAAGATGAACGAAAAATCTTACGGGGTTGGAACAACTGAGGGTGAGTAATTACTGACAGAATTTTCATTTTGGGGTGAACTATCCCTTTAATAACTTGTCCTTCATGCATGTAGAAACATTAACTTCTTAAATTAAAAAGTAGAGAAAAAAGTGTGAATGGCCTTACATTGTAATGTGCTGTTTATTCATTATCGACTGTTCCTGCTGTAAAGGTTAAGGCATGCGAATATTGATTTTGTTAAAAGGGAAACTCCCTCAAAGGTGGTCTTAAGCCCTGCACATGCTGGCTGACTCTGACAGTAAAGGTGATGTGATCCTTCAAACCACAGTGACCCAAAAGAGGATGTGGCATTATGAATTTTGATGCACTCTGCATGTGATTTTAAAATATTGGTTTTTAGCTCATTTCAGAGTCTTTTTAAACAGTACTTGAACAGATATTTAAAGGTGTTTATGCTTCTGTACCAACAATGCTCAGAGGAATTAAATAATAATTATTTACAATAACATGGAACTTGCCAGTAAATGCAGAGCAGAGTTAATATATGTATATATATATATATATTATATATAAGCATGCGCTTTTATATCTTGGAAATTAACACATTCACACTTTAGCTTCACACTTCAATCTACATCACTGAAACTAAAACAGATGGATGGTTTGTATGGTCAAAACAGTCCCTGGTTATTCTTTGCATGGCTTACTAGAACTAAATCTCTCCCAAGTTACTTGCTCTTAAAAAGAGTTTGTCAGTTTGCTTGCATCTTTCGTGTTAAAAACACTTCTCCACCCACACACACATGCACATACACAAACCCCAAACTTCCTGTAGATACACAAGATATGTTTATCTAAATGCAGTGATCTGAATTGTGTGACTGAAACCTATATATAAATATAGCGTCTTACATGTATAAAAATCAGATGCACAATTTGTCATGTAGTGCTAGAACAATGAACTCTCTGGATAAGTCGATGCATTGTGATTCTTTTATTTTTATGTTTTTAGTTTTAATTATTTTGATATGTGCTTGTCATTTTTAGTAATTTAGTAGTTATTAGTTATTTTAGTATTTTTCAGTGCTCTGATGTGGCATTTCATTCACATTTTACAAAAGCCAAAGATCTTAACGCTGAATTGGCAGCAAGTTAGTCACCTTAACTATTTAAATTACCTTAGATTTGCTTCCCTACACTCTTGCTGAAAAATTGAGATGCACAGAGAACCCTTGCACAATTGTCTCGGTCATGACTTTTTATGAATCCAAATTTAAACGAATCGTAAGGTACCTCAAGATTCTATCCTTTACAGCTCGTATAAAGAGGTTTGAATCCCATATGTGGCAAGGGAAAAGGACCTTCTGAATAAATCATGCAGTCCTGCTATATTTAAACATCTCATCGATCCCATTCTGATAGCGCTGCCGTGACTCACCATCTCTCCCCTTTCTCCTGTTCCTACGTCGACCCACCCCATCATACGACCAAAGACGCTGCTTAGAAGTCTTAGGTTGATTCCTATGTGCTCTGTGCATCCAAAACTGTTGCATATATGCCAAGCTAGAAGTGTGTGTGTGTGTGTGTGTGTGTGTGTGTGTGTGTGTGTGTGTGTGTGTGTGTGTGTGTGTGTGTATGTGTGTGTGTGTATAGAGAGTGCACCTGCAGAATAGTGACTGCTCTGGCAGATAGATTCGAGTACGCAGTCCTTCATCATGTCCGAATGTCCTCTAAAACCAAACAAACAGTCCCTGTCACACTCTCACAGCAGGTTTACAGCCCTAAGACAAATTATGAAATACCTACACACACAAACAACACTTTCCAAACTCAACAAATGGATGATAACGTTCTAGCCAGCAGACTTGAAAATATAACAATCAGCATTGGTCCTGAATACTCATGGTACTCAAGGCTACTGTTTTGGCTACAACTGAGTCATCCACAAATTAGCTTGTGACACAAAAAAAAAACAAATCCATGAATTAACAAAGAAAAAAAAATAGCTTCTTTACCAATAAAGTTGTGTTATGACCTAACAACAATATTGGGGTTATTAATTTAATATTTGCATGAACAACATAAAATTAATAATTTCCCTATATGCATGTAAAATTTTGTATTTATGTTTTTTTTTTTGTCCTTTCTATTACTACAGGTCACACACCTCGACAACCCACACTTACAGAGAGCAGGCAGCACAGAATGAGTGAGGAAACGTTCACACAGGATGTGTTCTTGCATTCAAAAACAGCTAAACGAAGCACCACATAAATGGAACAGAACACATGGGGTTTGAAATTAGTTTTTTAAATGATCTTAAAAAATAGTCACGATGCAACCGCCACAGACGTAAGTAGGCAGTCAGCATGTGCACGGATAAAAAAACAACAACTTTAAAAACAAAACTGAATAAGTCTTCTTCAAACAGACTAACAAAATGAAAACACAGAATAATAAATAAAAAAATCAACACATTTTGAATAGATAACATAATAAAAGCACTACTAATGACATCACTGTTAGAATTTGCAATACTTAAAATAAATGTTTTAACTGCATACAGTATTACAATAGCTAGACTTGATCCACTGGATTGGACTATAATAGGACTAAACAAAATAATAAAAAAACATGATTAAAGTCACATGCAAGTATTATAAACACTTGCATAATTGATAATAAACAATCCATAATGTATTATGCGTAGCTTGATGTATTGTGGTATAGTTGTATCATGTCCGGTTAGCATCTGTGTGGTCTGTTTAGTAAACACTTAATGGAATGTAATGGGCATTGAAATTACTGTGTCAGCTATTGCTTTCACCAAAATGCTCTTTTTAAAAAAAAAAAAAAAAAAAAGAAGAAGAAAAATAAATAAATAAATAAAAATGCATTATTGCTGAGCACAGCAACGTTTCCCCCCAGACTGTCTGCTGTCCACTGCACAAAACTTTTCTGTGAGTGACAGCTACACACACACACACACACACACACACACACACACACACACACACACACACACACACACACACACACACACACACACACACACACACACACACACACACACACACACACACACACACACACACACACACACACACACACACACACACACACACACACACACACACACACACACACACACACACACACAGAGAGAGAGTTTTAACAAGTTACTTTGACTAGTTTCATTTTACAGTTATCCTTACTGTGCAAATTTTGGAGCTGCAAAATAAAACTGTTTTTCTATTGCACTGACACACACACAAATACACACGCAGGGTCCACACTTATCCTCTCTTTCTCTCTCCCATTTAGTCCTTGGACAATGATTTTTCTAGATAATGTATTTCACTGCATTAAAATATTCTGCAAGCATTAAGCCCCGTTCACACTACAAGCGACTTTGTCGCTGCATGTCGCCAGTGGCTGGCGATGAGGTCGCTAGTGGGAGTTCCCACTACTGGTTGCCTTTATGAATGACATCCAATGATGTGGAGAAGGATCATACGCGTTCCGCTCCTATTGGTTGTCGCTCCAGAAAGTCGCTCCTCATTTGCATAAAGTTAAACAGATCTCAACTTTGTCGCGTCGCCAGACACGCCCCATCCGGTCGCCAACGGTCGCTGTCGCGCGTGTCGCCGGAAATCGCCAGTTCCCCATTGAAATGAATGGTATCGCGTCGCTTGGTCGCGTGTAGTGTGAACGGGGCTTTACAAAGACCTTAATCTAACTGGTCAGAGGCGTCTGTAAATCCACCATGCCCTGTCAAGAAATAACAATTACCACTTCCTGTATTTCTAACTGAGAAAAAAAAAAATGCAGGCAAATATAAATATCCATTTACATATACATTCTGAACAATGTCTGCATGTTAACCGGCATGTAGTGTCAAAATTATTATAACAGGAAGAAGCTTTGAGTTCTGTCAGAAAAAACAGTTAAGTCAGCTGACTGAAGAAGTTACAAACGTCTGCCTAACATCAAAGTAACATGGCTGTGTTTCTCTTAAAGGGGCGCTTGGCAACTCTAGTCATTTCTTCGCTTATTTTCACTTTTGTTGTCGCATGTTTTCTCATCATTTGTTATTATCGGAGCCAGCCAACTTTAGTGTGGACCTATGTCTACCGAGGTGGGTAATGCATCACACACAGTATCATAGAATTATGTCGAATCGCCATAAAGCAGTTTGTGTTTCTCGCTCGTTCTCGCTTCTCACGAGACTTCTATTTCCAACTTTTCGGGACGTTAGTCCCCATGTTGCAAGGTTGGTTTTCCACCTGGGGACGCTGGGGCGAGCGGGGAAAGTCACCATTCTCTCCAGAACAGGTTATTGAACCATTCAAATGATTTCTAAACAGTTTTATTAAGTTGAAATAGTTGCCAAGTGCCCCTTTAATGAGAATACATCAATTATGGAGCTCACCTTCATGAGCCATTGTGACGGTGTCCTCTTTGGTGCTGTTATTGTAGATAATGACGGCCGAGGCATTGAAAGCCACTGCCTTAAGGATCTTCTCCTTGAAGGTGCACTTCCCTCTCTGCATAATGGCCACCCAGTGTGTGGTCTTCGGAGGCACTACAAACCGGGTGTGCGGACAGCAGCCTTGCAAATCCACCGCTAAAAAGAAATTAAGAAAGTTAGAGGGACCCCCTTGATTCCTGTCTTTATTTAAACTTTGTACAGTACACATGCTCCAGCAAAAGTTGTTTTGAGTTTACACAAAAAATACACAAAAACTATGTAATGCTGTATACCACAACTTAAAATTACAGTTCAAAAGTTTGGGTTCAGTAAGATAAAAAAAAAAAACCTTTTATTCAACAAAAACTCATTTATTTGATTAAATGTGGCAGAAAAAGACATTTATAATGTTACAAAACATTTCTATTGTGTAACAACCCATCTAAACAAACAAATGCAGGCTATGCCCTTGTACTCATTTACAAATGAATACATGACACATAATATATATACCAATAATATCTGACTTGCAAAAACTCCTAAAGGAATGTAAAGAAATCAACATTTGAAATCCTAAAGATATCAACAAAGAATCAACTGGATGAACTGAAATGTCAGTAGGATGTGCTTATTATACGCACGCAGCCTCACTTTGCATTTCTAATGAAACACACACTCACCACCATGACATCTGTGGACTGAAAGCATGCCACCACTAAACTCATTAGTAATGTAATAGAGTATGTAGGGGCCGCCTGCCTCCCTATTTCTTATGTGATTGCTCCATTGACACTGGAGGTTATGGAGGCACTCTTATGAGTTGGGCTATGCAAACTAATGCCCTGTCACTTCCAAACACTGACTCATATGTCGAAGCAGCCTGGCCCGCTCTAGAGGAGAGCTGGAACCCCCACAGGGAAGCAGAGCAGGTCACGATAATTGATTGTCTTTAACAGGTAATACGAAGGCTTTTGCTTGTTTCAGCACCAAGCCCACCTCCATAGCAAAACCCACCTGATCCTTCCCTCAAGGCATTCTAGCAAGACTTGTGCACTAAACGCAAAAAAATGCAAAAAGAGAGGTTGTAGAAAGAAATCTCTTTACTATTAGGATCACAGACACACACAGACACACAAAGAAGATGAAGCAAAATCAAATATTCATCAGTTTTCAGCATCAACACTGATATAATGTTGGTGTTTGGGAGTGTGTGTGTTTACTGGGCTGGAGAAGCAACCAACGAGGAGTCCAGAAGCTAATAATGTTGGTCCACAAGCTAATATTGTAGGCCCTATGATCGCCATAATATTAGCATCAGCATGAATGATTCATGCAACTGACCTACAGCTGAGATACTGAGTAGAGCTGAGATAGAGTCGCAATATGAATCCAAACATCACCTGATATTAAACCATAAAAACAGCCTGATGATGCATCATAGATGGACTGAGAGAAAATAACAAATGCTCACAGGTGGAAATTATTTCTACAAAATAACCGTTAACACAATAAAAAGATAAATATAGACCTTCATTTTGGTACTCCTAATTTCATGACTGCGTTTATCAGAATGTGTTTACTTTATTAACTGAAAATGTTTAAATAATTAATGTGCTGTAATTGCAGTTAGTACTGAAAGTCCCTTAAGGTCAAAGTTGGTGTTGCATAGTGCATCTTTGACTTTGCAGCGTTATCAGTTCTGAGGGGGCATATTTGGGTTCGTAAGGAAAGCTGGTGAAATCTGGTCTTCTATTTGAACTTTCTCCAAGTTACGTAAGGTTATATAATGAGCAACTCCATGACATCCCAAAAACTTAGTGATAAAGCAAGAACACGTGAAACAATCGGGACGGTTTAGTTCAACTTTGACATGGAAATATTCAAACTGTGAATTTGTGTGACCTCAGAGAGTTTGAGCACTGAAGTCCATTTCTCTTCTTGTGGAATACAAAAGCCACTTTCCATGGTACAAATTAGGGCATGAAACTCGTTTTAAGACTGGTCAGTGAAAAAGATTTAACCTTTAGAAAATGCTGATCGTCAACCTCAGGAGGTCAAAGAAAAGTATCTTCATTTTTATATTCATTTTTAATGAAGTTTGTAATTTTTGCACGTTTTGCAACCCCTGGACGAAAATGTTGGATTTGTCTAAATTGAAAACCCTAATTTGCATGATTGTTATTTCCTAACAATAACCATTTAAATAAACATCAAAATACCCAAAATTGAATTGATACAATTGATAAAATGTATACCCATGGGTAACAGGTTTAACCAATAAATTAGCCTTAATTAAGCGGTCACAGTTGGGGCTAGCTAACTTAGGACCACACAATGGTTTATAGTTATTTATAATTCCCATAAAATAAATAAACAACTTGTTTGAACATTTTTGCCTTTCAATAACTGTAACATGGTGGAAAGGTAGAGCTTAATAAAGGCAGTCAATCGCATGTTAATAATGATATTACATTGTTAAATTAAATTATTTTTTCTACACAAAAAGAATAACAATTAATTATGACATTGATTATTGGATACAGTCGAAAAGATCAAGACCACTGATGTGAGACAGACAAAAATCCTGTTTAAACTGTATCCAATTTGTTTAAAATGCCAAAACTCTCCATCTGTCAGAGAACCATGTGAGAAATTCATCGGCGTCAATGCCATCCGTTTGGCTGGTCATCATATGGTAATTCAGCAACTCCCACAGAACATAGCGCAGAAAGCACAACCAAATACAATCCAATACAGTATTAAAGCAATAAGCCCCGCAAAGCCGTGTTTTACAGTGAATTTAGAACAGCTAAGGGACGTTGTTAGGCACGACGCTGATATACAAATATAAAATATAAATATGATTATATTTTTATCATATCTTTTTCTCCTTTCCATTTTCTTCAAAAGGGAGTCATCTGCTGGAAGGAAAATCTGATGTAATTTGTGACTTATCCTGTAGACTAATTCATGATCTATTTAGGGCAAAAGTGCAGAAATGTGCACACAAATGTAAATGTAATCTTAATAAGATGTCATGCTGAAGAATTTAGATGGATTAAATTCCATGTCATATGCCATCGAAAGTAGTGAGAATTCCTTGTTAAATTGCTCTTTTCAGTCTTGTTGTCCTTAATACCAGAGACAATTTATATAGAGACATGCCACTTCCTCAATCCTCAATACAACTATATAGGGAAAACCTGTAACGCCAAAGATGGCGGTTGTATGCACATGCCCCGCCCCTCCCGCTGGAAAGCCAATCGTCTGCTTTTAACAGTCAAGCCGGGAAACATGTAAGCCTATCGTCTGGTTCCACTGGCGCATGCGCACAGTTGAGGTTTGCGACAGCGGAGACAAGAACCCTTGCGCATGCGTAGTAAAAGCATAACCTGTGGGGAAAAAGACCTTTTAAACCTTATTTTGGGGCAAAGTCATCAAACTTTTTCAGCGATTTTTATCATATTTTACTGCTGTTTCTATACATGCAGTTTTTATGTCCCGGTGACCAGTGAAAGTGCAGTTCTGACTCTCTGCCCATTCATTTAGATAGGAGCCTGGTCTTGTTAGTCCGAAATAGCTGCCCGGAGGCGTTGCCAAGATGGCGGCCGAGTGGCATGACTTGCCTAAAAGGACTTTGTTAATACACAACCGGGAATTATTTGAATTTAATGACTCAGCGTGTTAGATCTCCCAATGGGTTCAGGCTCAACAAGACTACATATTTTGTTTGATCTTTTAGAAAAGAGAAATGAACAATGCAGTTTTCGTTTTAAATGAAATCATTGCATCATCATCATCATTTAAATGGACTAAATGCAAAAGACTGCAAAGAAGACACATTATGCAAAACAAGAAAACATTCAAATGTATGTTCTCACATGTTCACTCTGCTCTCTAGTAAATTAGAGAGAATTACAAATGCAGAACATGAGTCAAAAGTTACAGTCATCCAAATGCGATCCTGTTATGAAGCTTTGTTGGTATACATCGGAACTCACCATGTAGCTGAAAAATAAACTCATGCAGTTTAAATAAAGAAATTAATATTATAACCAACATCAGAACACAGCACACTTCGAATATTATGATGCAAGATTATCAACTATTCTGGACATAATAATGCCCAACATTTCCAGAGCCGATAACATTGATTCAGAGGCTGATCAAGCAATCTGACACTAGGTCATTTCTGCCAATCATTAGCTGAAACGAACAGATTGTCTGCAACATCACATCGGGATCTTGTCCAATAGCTAGGCAGAGCATAATGTTTTTCACAAATTAAATGCAGTGCCGGAGGACATGTGCTTCCTAGAAATCGCTGTCTCTATTAATTCTAATCAGACGATGTGGAGCATGAGAGTTGATCAGTGTGAGTTTTAAAATCAAATTGATCCTGTGTATCTGGGGCATGTCTGTCATCACCAAGCAGAGGGGACATATCAGCCTTAATTATTATGGGTGAATATTTATAAAGCTATATCAGATACAATTAAGTCAACAACTCAGCCTGTTGTTGTTGACAACAACTAAAATAAAGAGAATAATTATCAAAAATAATTTGATATTTTTGCTATTTTTCTGTGCCCTTGATCTGCACTGCCTTATTATCTTTAAGAATAAAGTGAACATGAAGTTGTTTGTCATCTAAACCAGGGGTCTTCAACAAAGGGTTTGCCTTTAAAAAATATATGTAAATATGAATAGATTAAAATATGAATTGAACAAAAATAAAATATGTTAACTTAGCTAAAACTAAAGGTCAAAGTTTCATTATTTCACTGCTCCACCCACAATAAAATGTACTAGGTAATAATAAAATGTAATGTACAGGTATACAACTCTGTACGGCGCTAATATTAAATACGATTAAATATGTGAATTAGTAGCTATAATTTGTAAAACTGGAATACTGTACATAACATCGACATTTATTGCCAGAATGATATTAAAAGACTGAAAACCGATACTTATAAAGGCTCAACAAGAAAGAAAATAGTTTCAAACATAAAATAAAATGCAAGTATATGCAGAAAACATCTGCCTTCTTTTCAAGACTACACTTTTGTATCTTTGTTTTTGCACCTCTAACATACTCGGCACAACCACGACAGGCATGTGCAAGCTTAGGAATGCTAGTAGATACCATCAGC